CTATTGATTGCCCGTGATTTAATCACTTGGGGTCATGTGATAAATTTTCGGGTTTTATGTTCTGGGGTCGATTACCCAGGTTTACTGACCCCTTTCGGAGCACTAATCACGTGTGTTCAAACTATAAAAAACCTATATCAGCTGGTATTCCAATTAACGCCCAAATAACTTGTATTTCTGTCCTTTTTAGTTTACAGGATAACATAGATAAAATAAAAACTAAATAAATTGAGTAGAAATTTTGATCCAAAATTCGAAAGTATACAGTACTTACTTGATATTTTCAAAATGTTGGACACTTATAGAAAATCCATGTTTACTTTTCGATTTGAATTTCACAATAACATCTTTAATCTGTTGTTGTTTTTCACTGCATTCAACAACATTTCCAAAAATTTGATAGTAACTATTATCCAAGGGTTTGGCAAATTTTATGCGATAACATTTGACTGGATTTCGAATTTGTATAATTCCTGTCATAAAGTTTAAATTCAGAAACAATTGCTTGATTGGAAACATTATTTTTGACACCTATAACTGATTTAATATGCTTTTGAATTATTAACTCCTCAAATATTTCATATATAGGAAATAAATAATCTTTGCTAATAACTTGTGAAGTTTCATAAAAGTTTTTAGGACACGATTCTATCCATTTATCAAGATCATCTTTAAGGACTATATCACCATTCGTCGACACAAAGTAAGTAATGTCAAAATTATATTTTTTCATTAGATTTGTGCATAGAATCAGTTCATCTTTAAATGTTTTTTGACCTTTATTATTTATTAAGTCATAAACACCATCCGAGAGCTTGCATCCTCTCGGTTAAACTGTAGTTTCCTCAAATGTAAGATGTAATTTTCTACACAATTTTTGTCCAATAATAGCTTTTTGAGCGATAAAATGGGCTACCGTCAATAGAAATCAAGCGGATCTACATTTGAAAAAAAATACCTTAAATTTCACAGCTCATATATCGATTAATTTTAAAGGTATCTTTTGATGATTTAATATTCAAAAGAAAGCATAGATCGTAGGCTTTCTTTTAAATATTAAATCATCAAGATACCTTTAAAATTAATCTAGATATGAGCTGTGAAATTTAAGGTATTAATTTTTTTCAAATGTAGATCTGCTTGATTTCTATTGACGGCAGCCCAAATGTCCATATTTTGCAAATACTTTCATTAATTCATGGTATGGATTTTTATGCTTCAGTGCAATGCTTACTGCATCATCTAATATTTTGAATGTTTGAATAAGGCCTTTTTTAAAAACAATCTCAGCTTGAGGATACCTTATTTCTAAATATATATCATTTGCAAATGAGTTGCCTTTTAAAGGATTAATACCAGCATAAGTTTTAAACCACTCGGAAGCTATCGAGTGAAATGAATTTATTTCAATATGGTTTTCTAATATAAATGATAAAATTTTTTTAGTACATAAAATTAATCTTAATTGGGGTTGTGGCTTGTTTAAAAGAGTGATTGACGGCTGAATTTTAAAATTAAATATAGGTGATTTTGTCTGCCATATTCTACATGAATCAATAACTAAACCTCGATTTAAGTTAATATTTCAATTGCTTTTTATTCAGGTTTAAATTCAATAGATACATCTTTATTATCTAAATTTACTACATTTTTGTTAATTGCATTATTTTTAGTCTGATCGAAGGCCTGTTTTGACTCTTCGATACTATTAAATCTATCAGAAGAAAATTGAGAAATCATCTCGTTTTTTTGTATTTTCTCTTAATCAATGTTCTTTTTCTAAAAATAGTTGTCAGTTCTGTCAATGCAATTCCTGGAAAACTTGTAATTATCGTTACGTATTTACTGCAATATAACCAATCGATGCCCTGAGACTTTCAGACATACAGTTTACTGATTTGATCATAGGATACTTCTGAATATATAAAACTCTACGAACATTGTTGGGATCAAGAGCCAGATAATCGTCCAGATGCAACATTTGTTATGGATAATTTAGTGGAAATCAATCTCATGCAAATGAGGGCCATGTACGATTCTCTTTCTGAAGCTCAGAGTGTCCTTCACAAACGTGAAGGCGGAAGAGAGGATTCTGTAAAGATTGTCATTCATGTTAAAGGCAGTACATCCGCGCCTGAAACTTATTTTGTGAACGATTTAGATCAAGATAGTACATTGGAAGATACACGGAAATATTTGTCCAAATTTGAAGGGATCTTTATGGGCCATAATGACGTTTTTCGTAATGTGTTGTCTCGAAAAATTCCTTATAGTTACGAGAGTAGCTATAGAGTCGAGGATATTTTGGTTCGAGAATCTAATTTTTATTCTTTGCATATTGAAAAAGATGAATCAAACCCTCGTGTCCCTGAACTCGTGCGTAGTCTTAAAATTGATAGAGGATATTATGAAGATGGTGATCATTCTATAGCTACAGCAACTATTCCTGCATTTTCTATAAAAGATTTGCATACGAAAGACATTATTATCCAAAGTAAATTTGAACTTGCTTACAAAAAAACAAAAAAAAATTTCGACCAATTATGGATTGAAAGCTATGAAAAGAAACATATAAAAGAAGGAGATAAAACTGAAGAAAATTGTGAAGAGATATTAAATGAATATACCATTAAGTATTGTCAAACAGGCAAAATTTCATTATCATGTAACGAGTTGATACCAACAAAAGAATATATTGATGCTATTGATAATGCACTAAAGGAGGGTAATGATATTCAAAAAATAGAGAATTTGAGACAAGTTGGCAATGAATTTGGATTTTTTGGGTAAGTATTTTTATTTGAATACTGGATTGAATCTGAATTATCCTATATAAATTTACGAATTCGCTGATAGGGTGAAAGAAATTGCACTTGGTGGCAAATCTCTAGAAGGCAAATTTGCATATTGTAGCATTGGTGGGACAACAAT